GGAGTCAATAGAGGAATTAAATCCTGAATCTAAAATGGATGATGATATCCTGAACACTGGTAAACAGTATTGTATGAAGGATGATATTAACAAACTGTTTGAAGCTATAGAAATTAGGACTTCCCATAGAGGTGTCAAAGATGCATTGAATAAAAGCGCAATGAAGAGACCAATGAGATCTAGCCCCGCTCGAGCATCAGGTTTTGATAATTCTGAGCCTGCAAATTTGAAGCAGGCCTTCAGAGGATTATGCATCTCTCAGGCATCAGAGCTTGCGGCTGTGAAGAAGCGGTCGTCGAAAGCGTCCAGGCTGTCGGGTGTCTCAGAGACAGGGGCTGCCAAAAGACTTTACAGGCCCATTGCTGTTCAGGTTAATGGCCCTGAACATACTGTCAACGAAGGTATAGGAAATTTAGTGGAGATATCCCTCATCCCAGATATGAGTATGTCAAATCCTTCTGATAAGATTACTGACTATGAACATGTGCCCATTAAAGAAAAATCTACTTATGCTGCCTATTCTTGCCATCTTTCTAAAGATGCAATGAAACACGGTGCAGAAACAAATGAAATTTCAGGAGGAGATGAAGCTTTTCCACACTCAACTGATATTGGTTCTGGTTACTTAAAAGAAATGTCTGAGCAGAAAGATGTTTTGGAACTACCGCATTCTTCAACTGCCACTTCTGCTAATAAAAAAGTTGAAGCCCAAATGATGCCAACCCCAGATGAAGCTCCGACAACTCTAATCCCAGCAGACAAGGAGCAGGCACGAGATTTTGATCTTGTTTCTTGCTCATCTATTTTTAATACTGGAAATAAAGTCATCAGACCTACCTCTAGCAGTCCAAGTCTGATGAGACCAGTTTCCAGAAGCAGAACCTTTGTTAAGAAGAAAGTCGTTTCTGTTCTCACCAGCAGTTCCAAGCAATCTAATGGTGACAATGATTTGAGTTGTAGTACAAGTGAGATTGCTTGTCAGACACCTGAACATGGACTGAGGAATAATCAGAAAGAAGAGGATAAGGAATCTTCAGAATCATGTGGTGCTAATAGCATAGAAGTTAGTTCATCCATGCTCGATGCTAGTGTTACCAAACCTGGTCTCAGCTCAAGCAGTTGTAACAGAACAAGAAGTATAGTTACAAAAGGTGATGAAAGATCATTGTCTAGAGAAAAGGGGGAGATATCTCAAAGTTCAAAGAGTAGCATCGGGGATTATAGCAGCACCACAAGCTTTAGCGAAGAAAGCTATCGCAGTGCGTCTAGCCGCAGTGGATATCGACCTCATATGTCCAAGGATTTGAGATGGGAAGCCATTCGTTGTGTCCAGAAGCAGCATGGAAACATTAGTTTGAGGCAATTTAAGTTGCTTAAAAAACTTGGCGCAGGGGACATTGGGACTGTTTATCTATCTGAACTAATGGGCACAAACTGTCTGTTTGCTGTGAAAGTTATGGACAATGACTTTCTGACCAGCAGGAGGAAGATGACAAGAGCGCAGACTGAAAAAGAAATACTGCAAATACTGGATCATCCATTTCTTCCTACGCTCTATGCCCATATTACCAATGACAAATATTCATGTTTAGTGATGGAATATTGTCCAGGAGGTGATCTCCATGTGCTCCGACAAAAGCAACCCAACAAGAATTTCTCTGAACAAGCAGCCAGGTTACTTTTAATTTAGTTAACTTATTCCCTGAAACTATTTCTTCTTATATCCACTTAATCTAGATTCCAAAAGAGAAGGCAACTAACTCTGCAAATAGAACTATTCTATCCTAATAACAGGTAATATAGGTGGGATATACATTTTGTGGTCACGCTCTTATTTCGCGATTGCTATCTGGTTGATGAAGTTATGCGTGTCTTAGGGCCTTTATGTTTAAGACTTTAGAGAATCTCTATTTTCAAGGGTCTACTAGAATCTCTTTTGCTCCTACTAAATGACTTCTATTTATTATTTGCTGATGGATAATAGCTTGCTTTATGCTATAACTTGAATTATTCACAAGAATAGAACTCAACTTGTGTAAGTATGGAGGTTAAATGATATTTAGAACCAAGGTTCAGTACAAGAGAACAGGAAATATTAGAGAACTTCTCTCATTGATTTGGATTTTTAGCGGATCAAGCTTATGAGATTTTAAAAAGTATCCTTCCCTTCCAGTTTCCTTGTATGTCCCATGTGAAACAGCAAAAAAGATAATACTGTTCCCAAGGTTTCTGATAACACCAGTCTTTGTTTTCAATATACACTTAATACTGACTGCCCATCAGTGAGAACCTTTAAAATGACTTGAATACTTTTAGCCAAAAAATTGTTTTTGACTTAATCAGGGTAGGTCAATCGAACTTATAGGGAAGTCTCTTAATCTGCAAAGCTTGAGAGGGTTCCTCGTAATTGTCGGAAAGCTCATGGGGTCTAGTCTATGTCAAATTATGTCCAATTTTCTTCCAGTTTCCTTTAATTTCTTCTCATTGGTCATTCCATTTTCCGACCCTAGCATCCGGAAGTGAATTCCCACTTTTTATGGAGACTTTATTGAGTTAGTTTCTGGTGAGTGAATTGGGATATGCAACCTCTCTTTCCAGTCATTCTTGTACTTAAATTTAGTATCTCAGGTGACACCTAACACGTCGAGCCTACTCTTTCAAATTTTACTTAATAAATTTCCAAAACACTTGTGTTTGAGAGAAGATCTTATGCTTTATATGTTACTTTGTTGGACAAGTCTTCCTAATGTATTTTTGTAATCTGGTGATGGGAGTGCATCTTGTCAATTTTAATCTCGCCAGATGCAGTTCAAGTGGTTTTCTACGTGATCTTGACATTTGCCGTTTCTTTGCACAGATTTTATGTCGCTGAAGTTCTTCTTGCTTTGGAATACCTTCACATGCTTGGAGTCATTTACCGAGACTTAAAACCAGAGAATGTCTTGGTTCGAGAAGATGGTCATATCATGCTCTCCGACTTTGATTTATCTCTTAGGTGTGCTGTTAATCCTATGTTGGTGAAATCATCATCTCCTGTCGTTAAGCCTCCAAAGACATCTAATCCATGCTCGGAATCTAGCTGCATAGATCCCTTTTGCCTACATCCATCCTGGCAAGTGTCCTGCTTTACCCCTAGATTTTTATCTGCCGCAGGTAAGACACGTAAGCTAAAAGCGGACATTGCTGCCCAAGTCACACCTTTGCCACAGCTGGTAGTGGAGCCAACCGATGCCCGCTCCAACTCGTTCGTAGGAACCCATGAGTACCTGGCACCAGAGATCATCAAAGGAGAAGGTCATGGCAGTGCAGTAGATTGGTGGATGTTTGGTATCTTTCTATATGAACTGTTATATGGAAGGACACCTTTCAAAGGACCAGGAAATGAGGATACATTAGCCAATGTGGTTTCTCAGTGTCTCAAGTTCCCTGCATATCCTATGGTTAGCTCTAGTGCGAGAGATTTGATCAGACGGTTGTTGCAGAAGGAACCGGAGAATAGGTTGGGAGCTGAGAAAGGGGCAGCAGCGATAAAGCAGCATTCTTTCTTCGAGGGACTTAACTGGGCATTAATACGATGTGAAACACCACCAGAACTGCCTAGATTCTGTGACTTGGGAAATGTAATCCTTGATACCAACCAACAGAACAAGGAGAGTGCCAAGCCTCAAAAAGAGTTCAAAAGTATAGCAGAGGATATTGAGTTTGAGATGTTTTAGCGATACTAGAACTGAGAATGGATAGGTTTGTTTTCTCTTCTTTCTTTCTCTCCTTTTTAACACGATATCTCTTATCCATGTAATTGGTATATATAGGCATTAGTTACATATAGCATATAGTGTAGAATCCAGAACTTGGCATCAATTGAATAGCAGAATATACCATGTTTTGTAGTAACAAAGTTGTGCTTGGGAGTGGAGTAATTTGAAGCAGCCAGGATGGAAATTGGATGTAAAGAGGCTTCAAAAAGGTTTCAGATTGTACTATATAGTAGCTAAGTTGCTTTTGATTGGATATATATAGACACATTTGTCCGAGTTTTCAGCTAAGTGTGGGATTTGATTCCTCTTTAGAGTATATAAAGAAACTTGGTGAATGCAGAAAAACAGAACAAAGTTCCTTTTGAAACAAACAATATTTTCTAGCTCAGCAGTGACCAAATTGGGAGGTTAATGCATGAAACGGTCAATCCTGGGCCTCTGCCATGTCCAGGACTTCATGTTACTCAAACTCTTAGAAGTAGACATATCTAAAGATATCATCCTGAACATCTCCTTTGTCAAGTCGACCGGAGAATTCTGCAAGAGGTCAATGCTGCTGACAACTGATATTTTAGATTAAAATTGGTTGACTGACCCTACAAATAATAAAATGAATTTTAATTGGGTTTTATTGTATATGACAAACGTCCGGATCAGGGTGATACTTCTAGTAACAATGTCGCATATTTGTTTAGTTTCAAGTAATGATTTATTGAGATATAACTGATTTAAATGGTCATTAATAATAAATTGAATGTAATCTAATTTATATAGGGTTTGATTTTGAAGAAATATATAAAACATTCAAAGAGTAAATAATTGTGGGTAATACTATCAAGAATAATCAAACATTGATCAAATATACACCAATATATCTTACTGTTGTTAGTACATACTGAAATCAAATAGAACTAGAGTAAAACTAAATAAAATCAATTACAGTTTGGAAAGCCTGATGCTTTAGAATAAAACATACAGTAGTGACACATATTGTATAAGTGAAAACAGGTCAAGGTAAAAGCGTAGCAGGATAATTTAGTAGTAACGATTAAAGCTAAGGGCGTCCACGGTGTGGGATATTACTGGGTATGTTGTTGTTGATTAAGCTAAGGGCGCCTACATTTTCTTAAATTCTAATTTGGTGCGACTATTATTAATCTTTGTCATGGATTAGAAACACCTTATACAGGGGTCAAAGAGGGCCTGGGATTTCTCATTTTAACATACTTTTTAACATTCAAAATACGATAAAGGAAGATGCATTAGTTGCCATGCTGATTTCCACAACGGCACTGTCTAATACAAATATCCATAAAACCCAAACACATGAGCAATTGTTTTATGCTGCCGAGTACTGATGGCAAATGCCATATATCGGCACGCTCTATTGTCTGCGTCTAACCAGTATTAGCTACTAATAAGTAAGTCCACAAATGAACAAACAGGTCTAAAATATCCCCTTTCGAACTTCAGCTGCCATAGTAACGATGGTCGAGCAGACACCACCATTTAAACCTTCTTACCTATGCCATGAGACATATTGTAGATCCCTCTCCCCTGAAACATCATCCAGAGTCTGATTAGAGTTGATTTTAGACAGAGGATAAAGCAATCTACAAAATTTCAAAGAAACTCACAATCATAAACAAAGCAGTAGCTGCCAAAGCAGCTGGAATGGCCACTGAGGTGATCTTGTCATAACGACCTTTCAAGTATGTGTGCTTGTGAACACTTTGGAAAAACTTTTGCTTCTCAACAAGCTTTTCTCTGGGATAGAAAGGTGCTTCTTCTGACATCCTGCATTAATTAGTTTAACCAGGTCTACGTTAGGATGCTTAATATCCATTAAGCGGGTCCACTACTTCCTTCCTTTTTGTTATAAGCATATACTTGTATGATTTTGTTTCCTTATTTTACCATCTCAAGAGAAATTGTTTGACCTTTTAACGTATTTGTGGCACAGCAGGAGATAAGTGAATCTTTCAAGGATACTAAAATAACTAAAGCAAGATTTGCATAAAATAATTTACTCTGAAAAGGAGGTGTCAATTGAACTTGCAGTCGAGAAACCAGATAGACAAGAGAGGAATCCATCAACATAAAGCACATACTTAAAAGTGCATGAATTGCATATGGTCGAAGGCACTGGCAGAACACCCAGTCATTTGAATAAAGTGCATAAAGGAATCCACCAAATAAAGGTCTCTAGCACAACAAAGAAGCAAAGCCAGACTGATCTGAGTGTAACATGCACGGAATTAAGGCTCTATCTATAACCACAGGAACAAGCTGAGAACGTTTTACTTCAAAACACCACATATATTGATTTATTCATCTCTAAAGCAGCATGAAAACTAATAAAATAGCATAACCGGAAAGAAAAAAAACAGAACCAAAATGAACTGGTGGTGATGGAATACCCTGTGAGATCTCTCTTGTGGGTGAGAGTTGTCTTTTTTTCTTTTTTTTCCAAATGAATCTCAATAAGTTCCGGTGGTGACCGTAACCCTTGAAGAAGAAGAACACAACAATAACATACCTAGTAATATCCCACACTGTGGGGTCTGAGGAGGTAGTGTGTACGCAGACCTTACCCCTACCTTGTGAGGATAGAGAGGTTGTTTCCAATAGACTCTCGGCTCAGGAAAGCATAAGCACCACATTAATGAAAATATAGACAAGGGACAGTACCAAAAAGCCATATAAAAGCAGAATAAAAACAACAAGACAGTAAGGTGATCAACAATGAAAGAAAACAACGGTTAGTCATAAAAACCTACAACCAATAGAAAGCGAGACGGTGTGCCAATACAACTGTTATGAACACTCTAGACTACCTACTCTACTACCCTAATCCTCGACCTCCATATCTTCCTATCAAGGGTCATGTCCTCGCTCAGCTGAAGTTGCACCATATCTTGCCTAATCACCTCTCCCCACCTCTTCTTTGGCCTGCCTCTACCTCTCCGTATGCCCTCCAATGTCAACCTCTCACACCTCCTCATCGGTGCGTCTATGCTCCTCCTCCTCACATGACCAAACCACCTAAGCCGCACTTTCCACGTCTTGTCCTCAATAGGGGCCACACCCACCTTGTCGCGAATAACCTCATTTCTGATCCTATCTAACTTGGTGTGCTCACACATCCATCTCAACATCCTCATCTCTGCTACCTTCATCTTCTGGACATGAGCGATCTTGACTGGCCAACACTCGGCCCCATACAACATCGTTGGTCTGACCACCACTCTGAAGTTTCGGTGGCACCTTCTTGTCACACATAACACCGGAAGCGAGTCTCTATTTCATCGATCCCGCCCCAATACAATGTGTAACATCTTCATCAATCTCCCCACCCCCCTGAATAATAGACCAAGGTACTTAAAACTTCCTCTCCTAGGGATGACCTGCGAGTCCATCCTCGCCTCCCCTTCCGCTCCTTGAGTCTCGCCACTGAACTTACACTCCAAGTATTTTGTCTTAGTCTTGCTCAACTTGAAACCTTTAGATTCCAGGGTCTGCCTCCATATCTCTAATTGCGCGTTCACACCGTCTCGCGTCTCGTCAATCAATACAATATCATCTGCAAATAGCATGCACCACGGCACCTCCTCTTGGATGTGGCGCATCAGTACGTCCTTCACCAGAGCAAACAAAAAAGGGCTGAGCAACCCCATCATAACCGTAAAATGGTCCGAGTGCCCACCCACCGTCCTCACTCGGGTCTTTACTCCATCATACATGTCCTTAATCAACCTAACATAGGCAACAGGTACCCCTCTAGCCTCCCAACATCTCCACAAAACCTCCCTCGGAACTTTATCGTACGCCTTTTCTAAGTCGATGTACGCCTTTTCTAGTTGAAGAAGAAGAATGAAAAGAAAAACTAGATGCTTTGCAAGCTGAAAGGTGAAAAGTGAGATGGTTTTTGGTGGAATCAAATTCAATGGATCTAGTGAAACGGAAGAAGAAAGCAACACTTAAGGTTTAACTATTCAAAAAGAAAACAGAAAAGAACAAATGAAAGCAAGTGCTGACCAAATGATATCCATGGCTTACATCCTCAAATTCTAATTTAACAATTACAATATCACTTCCGCTAAACTAAGATGAAAAAAACTGCAGTGACAAACATGTTCTGATAACATATGTTGGTAGATAGTTAAACCAAGGAGAGAAAGACAAAGCCAAGACGGTGTTGGCACTCATGTTAACATCAAAGATTATATGATTAAAGATACGTGACGTTCAAAATTTATCACAACCACGATCAAATCAATAAGCCAATTAGCTCCAAGATTTACATGATTTTTGCACCAAATGGATAATAAACATGGCTTGACTCAACGGTAAAGTCATAAAAAAACCCTTTCACCAGACTGTAATATCAGTCACTTATTGTCTCGTTTGCATAGCTTAGCTATAGCTAACAAGACATTTATTCATCACTTCTTCCTCAAGAAGGTTATACCAGAGCAACCTTATCATTCATCCTCGCGCTAGCAAGGAATTGAGATAGTTCTACGGCTCACCAACAGAATTCATAATCTTTTTTTATTTAGGCACCTTACGGATCAACTGTGGTTCTCAATTACCCCATTGTGACTCGAACTTTGAAGTTGTGGCATCTCGCACACTGAGTCAACCCATACAATTATGAACTTTATCAATTGGAATGAAATTATCATTTTGAAGCTGACCTAACAAACTAGGCTAGCCTCCCAACTAACAAAGATGAATCTAATCCAGATAAAATTGAAGTAAGTTCAGTTATCGTGGTATACCAGCCGTCAAAGAATCCTTAGAATCAAATCAATCCACCATAATAAATAGATCGACTTTTAAACACACATAAAAAGAAAAAGCAAAGGAGCATACAAAAGGGTGAAACAAAATTCAATCAATCAGCACAATCGCAAATGATATATCATTGAAAATGCCAAATTAGACTAAAGATTAAACATCACAACAAGCAAATCAGTCAACTACATCGGAATCAAACGATTTCAGAAGAAAACCCTAGTAAGGTACGTGCAAGGAAATTAAGAAAACCCGAGCAAGGGAGAAACTAGGGTTTCGACGATATAAGAGATTAACTCACTTGAGAGAAATGGATAGAGAGAGAGCTGAAGGCAACGAGCAGAGGGCAGCGCAGACGAAGAGATACAAAGACAAATGAAATTGTTGAGGCTAGAGTCGGAAGATTCCGGTGATAAAGTGAGTTCCCTTCTTTGGTATTTTGACTTTTGACTCTCCCTCCTTTTAATTCTTGGGAAAGGAGATAAAATACGAATATTACAAACTAAACACAAACGATTGGCACACTATTCTATTTTGGAAATTTTGCTAATTTCATGCTTGGATTTTTCTTTCTTTTTGTTTTTTTTTTTAATTTAATTATCTTTATTTTTTCTTTATTTAGATTAGTGTTACTTCATTTTGGAAACAGGGATTATCTGTTAGGAGCTTCAATTTAGAGCAAACACTTAAATATGATAATGTCAATGGTTTCAAGTTAGAGCACACACTTAAATCTGATAATGTCAATGGTTATGGCTATAAAAAAGATTCAAACGTGATATCCACCACCTATAATGTTTACTATAGAACATGTTTCTTTTACGACAACAACAAACCCAGTGTAATCTCATAAATGAAGTCTGGGGAGGATAGTGTACACAGGCCTTACCCCTACCTTGTGACGCTAGATAGGTTGTTTCCGATAGACCCTCCGCTTAAAAAACGCAAACATGAAGCAACCAACAATAACAACACAAAGAAAAACAATGACACTATGTGTAATAACAAAGATCTAAAAGTAAGAAGTACGAGATATACTATTAACAATACTGGTAAGAATGACGCAATATGGGATAACAAAGATCTAGGAACACGAAAATATAAGAATAGTACTAATATTACTGGTACGATTAGGAGAAACTCTCGACTACCTATCAACCTACAATCCTAATTTTTGACTTCCACACCTTCCTATCGAGAATCATGTCCTCGGTAAGCTGAAGCAATGCCATGTCCTGCCTAATCACCTCTCCCCAATACTTCTTTGGCCTATCTCTGCCCTTCCTCAGACCCGCCATGGTCAACCTCTCACACCTCCTAACCGAAGCATCGATGTCTCTCCTCATCACGTGTACGAACCATCTCAGCCTTGATTCCCGCAATTTGTCTTCCACAGGGGTCACTTCCACCTTGTCCCTAATAACTTCATTTCTAATCTTATCTTTCCTAGTATGCCCACACATCCATCTCAACATCCTCATTTATGCTACTCTCATCTTCTGGACATGGAATTTTTTGACTAGCCAACACTCAGCACCATACAACATAGTCGGTCTAATTATCACTCCGTAGAACTTGCCCTTAAGTCTTGGTGGCATATTCTTATCACACAAAATACCAGATGCGAGCCTCCATTTCATCCACCCCACTCCAATACGATGTGTAACATCCTCGTCAATCTCCCCGTTGCCTTGGATAACAGACCCAAGGTACTTGAAACTATCTCTCTTGGGAATGACTTATGTAACAAGCTTCACGTCCACCTCTGCTTCACGCGTCTCCTCACTGAACTTGCACTCCAAGTATTCTGTTTTCGTCCTACTCAACTTGAAACCTTTAGACTCCAGGGTCTGTCTCCAAACCTCCAGCCTAGCGTTAACCCTGTAATTTCTTTTAGTATATTCCATTTTGGAGAGATCGTATATATTCTTGTTGTTAAAAAATAAATAAATTAATATACGCATATATATATATATATATCTAGAATAAAAGTAACTTAGAACATGATTTCTAAGTTAGGCCTCTCTCCTCATATTTAGCAATGCTTTCGTTTTCTCCTGTTTTTTTTTTTTTTTTTTCTCTGATGTATATCTACATTAATTCGATTTTCTAAAGAAGACTTTCCATAATTTTCTAAGGATGAGAGCTAAATGTGCAATATATGCTTAAGAAACAATATTACAAGTCAAATTCTCCCTCCGTTTCATATTATATGAGGTAGTTCGACTCGGCACGGAGTTTAAGAAAAAAGAATAAGACTTTTGAAACTTGTGGTCTTAAAAGGGTCATGACATTTGTATGGCTATAAAAGCTTCTTATTAAAGGTAAATGGGTAAAATGTTAAGAATTTAAAGTTGAATTATTTCCAAATTTAGAAATGTGTCATTTATTTTAGAACATACTAAAAAAGAAAGTACCTCATGTAATATGAAACGGAGGGAGTAATTATTTTCTGATCTCCTTTCGACGTTCAAGTTGAGTATGTGAACAATTTCTTGTCTTTTCTTCCACGATTATGAAAGATTAAGAGCAGTATATATGTACCTTGAATATAGCATCTTCATTTATCCATGGAGTTCTCGAGAATTCTTTCGCTATTTTCAAAATGTCTGCCTTCACTAATTAGCAAAGATCATTAAAGCTACGGTCAGTGGCGGAGCTAAGAGAAGCAAGGGAGTTTTTCTGAATCCCCTTAATTTGTTGGAAAATTACGTTGTGTATAAAAAAGAAAACTATACATATATATGAGATGTTGAACCTCATTGGCTTCTTCATGTTTAGTTTTTTTTTTAATCCCCCTTGGTAAAAATTCTGGCTCCATCACTAGAGCTGTCAATATGGGTGGGGCCGCGCTAGCCCAGCCCAGCCTAAGCGGGCTTTAGCAATTGACGGGCTGGGCTGGGCTAGCCCACCATTTTGATGGGCCTTATTAAGGTCAGCTCACCCCAGCCCTATGTGGGCTGCGAGCCCCCACGGGCCAGCCCATTATTTTTTAAAATGTAATTTTATATATTTTTTTAAGTTCTAACTTAAAAATAGATAAATATTTAAAAGCTAAAAAAATCTTATCGGAAAAATTTCAGAAAACTTAATACTTATACTGTTCCAATATATCACAATAAACACTAAAAAAGTAAAAGACAAGACTATATTTCATTCACTAAAAGTCAAAACTCAAAACAAACTACTCAAGAGAACGTCCATGACGCCTATGGGATATCCAACACATCATCTTCATCAATCACATTTGAATCCGCTTGCGAGAAGGTTGTCTTAACATCTTACTTTCACTTACATCTACAATTTGTATGCAATATTAGTTAGTTAAATATTAAAAATAATTAAATTTTTAAAATTAATTAACGTTTTAAGATAGATATCTTTTAATATGATGAGCTTAATAAACTTTAAGCTTGGAATGCTCTTCTTGATATTTTTTGGGTCATATAATTTTAATTTTATATTTTATATATTTTAAATACGTATTTTTATTAGGCCTACGGGCCGGGCCGGCCCTGCCTCACGGGCCGCGGGCTTACTCTGATCGGGTTTAAAAGCCTCGTTCTTAGATGGGCCCCAAAAATTCTAGCCCAACCCTGCTAAATCATGAGCCAAGCTCATATTGACGGCTCTATCCGTCACTAGCGATAAAACATATGTTAATTTTTACTTTTTTTTTCTCCATATCATAATTCAAGAACCATTTATTTTTCGTAACTTTGAAGCTTCGTCTATCTTGAGGAATATGTCCTATGCAAATCTCTGTTTGACCAAAAAGTATTAAACCTTTTGATAAAACTAATTAATGATAAAGTAGAGGGTAAATCTTAGCCAAATATAATCAACTTTAGATCTAAACATAATGGGCATTAAAATCAAAGAGATCGAGTTCATACAACATATCTTAGAATGAGTAAAAGATATAAAATGTAAATAATAAGCGTACAACTTCAATATATTGTTCCATGTTTGTAAAAACAAAGAAGACAAGGGATGGATCATGTTGATGACTATGGGATCTAGCTTTATTGATTCAACAATGGAGATTACAAAGGTTTTCCACCTGGAATACAGACCTCTTCCTTCTTCCCTTGGAGATCTTTTCCGTGTCTTCTGTTTCTTCCCCCTCCCCTTTTCTCTGCTTTGCCTTCCTTATATATATTGTCAATTTTCCCTTTTACCAACGGTTCTTGACCAGCGTGCACTCTCATGACTGTGTTCTTCCTCACTCGCCCCAATATTACGTTCTACCATGTAAGCCTTCTGATGGCCTGATCTTGGCAGTAGCCGAGATACTCATCGCCATTACGCCTCGTAGGCACGACCATGACTTGGTCGACCTCTTACCGTTCCTTTTAATGATAACCATCTGATGGTCAGATTTTGACCCATACAGTTAGTCCTCCGCCCGTTGGGGTCGCCTTTTGGCGAGCTCGATGGGCAGACCCTGTTGATTCAAGAGTTGAGAGAAATCTGGACATCATGCGAGGGACGAGGTCCTCATAGCAAGGTGACGACGTGATGCTTCAAGGACTTTACTGGGCTGTTACGTCAGTTCAGAGATGGATCGTCACGTCGGTTCGAGGTGCCATGAATACCTGTTAAGCGTCATTATGGCGCACGTTTCCCAAGCACCGTATCATTTCTCGTGCCCTTTTAGTTCTTTTTGATTGGTGGCTCTCGGGTTTCTCGCTCAGGACATTAGCGTTCCTATAAATAGGGGGAATCCCTTATTTGATTGTTATGCTTTTCAACTTACCTGAGAGAATTTTACAATATTCCACCTTCTTCAGCATTTCATACTTCTGCTTGCGTTAGAATTCGACGTGGCCTTTCTCTCTTTCCCTTCGTTGTTCTTGTTTATTTCGGTATAGACAGACAAATGGCTGGTACTTCTTCCCAGACTGGTAGATTGGTTGAAGCTTCGGTGCCGGAAAATGACGTACCCCTTCTTGAAGAGGAAGTGGAGGTGGTGGAAGACGAGGGGTTTCCAATGGTGGATGAGATAGTACCCCGTCCGGGGAAGTTAAGGACTGACTTCAACAGTCCTACCGAAAACGAACTGGAGCCTGTCCCTTCCACCATGGATGAAGCGGCGATTACGGCACTCAAGGCCAAGTGGGGAATCCCAATTCATATCGAAATGGTACCGACGGCGGGGAAGGACATTGTACATTTGCACCGCCTGGGGTACTGCGCCTTTTACGCGTACCCTTTTGTTATTGGGTACACGCTTCCCCTCCCCTCTCTGGTGGTAGACTTCTGCCACTTCTACGAAGTGTGCCCGACTCGGCTTTCTCCGTGTATGCGGTAAAATCGAAGGGTCCAATTTTCGACCATTACGACGCTTCGTAAGCAAGCTTTCCAAAGGCTCGAGACTACGGTCAAGATTTACACCCGAGGGGCCATCGATGCCCGACTTTGAGACAGTGCAAGTCG